CACACACACACACACACACACACACACACACACACACACACAGAGAGAGAGAGAGAGAGAGAGTGCAGTACGGTCCTCATGGGTCCCCTTTGAATATTGATGCAGTGTGCAGATGCAGGTACACTATGAGAATTCATCACCTTGCTGACGTGGACCTTATGTGAATCTGAGTTGCCCAGCATTTATGTGATGACCGATTGCAGTTGCACCCAGTTCTGAAGTTTCTTGTGTACCCTTGGAGGATGATGCCCGTCTGGTGTTAACGAGGTCAAGTATCCCGAGCATGTGGGTGCTGCTGGCAGGCAGGTTGCAGTGGCACACCTTCTGAACTGGCGACTATCTTTTCTCAGATGTTTCTACAAGTGGGGCGATGCGAACTCAACTTTGTTGGGGATTAGAAAGAAATTTCCTAACAAGCTGGCTGCGGTCTCTTTTCTACAGTATTCTCTGACTGTTGGTGGTTCTCTCTGAGGAAGTTCATCTCCAGCAAAAAGTTCCTCCTACGACTGTTGCCCGCTCTCTTTATGAAGTTCATCTCAGCCAAAAAATCATGTGATTGGAAGCCAGCAGATCTACGAACGTGCGTGTCTCAGCACTGTGAAAGACGGTGACTCGCAGCCTCTGAGATGTTTGTACCCTCTGTCTCCCTCATGGTACTTGCATCGTATGCATGCGTGTGTGCATGTTCATTCATCTGTCCGTGTAATCTCCAGGAGCTGCAGATGGGGATCTCCACTACAGTCATCCTGCATGTGGTGGCTTTCATAACATGACAAATGGCTGCCGCTTGTCCAGCTTGTGTTGGGTTGTCTTTTTTGTGTCTTTTTTGTTTTTGTTTTGAGGGTCACGAGTTTTGGTTTGTGAGCAGGAGATGCAAGGGCCACGAACGAGTGGTTACCCACCGGGTGATCCCTCTCGTCTTATGTCCACTACAGGCCAGAGGGATCGTGTTGGTCTATGCCCGAGGTGCAGCGGGGTATGAATACATGAGCTTCCGGCGATTACGTCCTGGGAGAACAGGGGGAGAAAAGCAGGTATGTGAGGGGCAAGGAGGACGTGTTAAGGAGGGGGCAGGGCATCGTGAAGAAGCATCTGTCGAAGATGGGGCAGACATTGAGTTCAAAGCCGGGCCTCTGTGCTATTGCCATGTTCTGCAAATAAGCGTGTGGTCAGCTGGCAGGTAGGTAGCCTTTGTATCCTTTCACGCCTCCGTCCTATAGAACAACTGCCGCCTTCCATCACCTAGCTGAATATATCGACCTGTTTCGGAAACCACAGCAAGCGCTCCTTTGTATAACTTGTTTGGTTGTTCAGACTTGTTCTTTGTGGCGCCTCGGTACCTGTGCCTTTCCACATATGAGCTCTACGAGACAGTTCCACTGCTGCTCCTTTGTCTTATCGTACTATTCTAAATTACCTCTATTTTTCTTATAGAGCGAGCAGGCTGTGCGTAATCAGTTGCCACCAGAACTTGCAGCTCCTAGCGGGAATGGCGGGCCTCACTCCACTACACAACAACGCTCTATATGCATCTGGACCTCGTAGTCCTGATGCATTGAAAATGTTGGACTCGTCCAAATGCACCTGGTGCAGAAAGTGTCCAAAGGCGTGTAGAATGTCAAGTACTGGAGCGAGGCCCATTGCAGCAGTTTCTTTCGCATCCTGGGCAGTTGTCACCAGTCGTTTCTTCACAGATCATGTTCGTTTGTGCGGTACAGTGCACTTAAGCTGACTTTAGGCCACATGTGACTTCTGGTATATGACCGATTGGCTGATTGGCAGACTACTACCCTCTTGCACACCCGTCTGGTTCAGGTGGGCCTGGATTGCAGGTACTATGGGGCCTTTTGACCTCCAATAGGTACCATCGAAATTCACCGTTTGGATCTCTCCCGTATCACCTCTCTCGGTGCTTTACTATAGTCAGCTGAAGTGAGAATCAAAGGTTTAAAATCTTAGGTTACCGACAGCCTTCAGCCTTACGTGGCTTACAACAGCAGGTTAGCAATGTAGCTCCAACTCCACGTAGCAGATGGAAGGGTAAGGTGGGGTTCGCTGGTTCCCCTCTGGAGGCGGCAGCCAGCACTTTTGGGGTGAGGGAAGGGGGGGGGGGGGGGGGGGGGGGGAGTATATGCCCGGACACAGTGTTGCATAACCTCACTGTCAGCTCCCCTGGACTGGTCGGCACCGCCCAGGAGTCATCGGCACCCCCCCCTTTCCAAAAAGAAAAAGAAAAGGAAGTTTTTTGGTCCAGAACCCTCAATAACCCCACCAACAACCCCATACCCAACCCCATTATCCCCATACACCCCGCCACCAACACCCCCAAACCGTCCCCCAACATCCTCATACTCTCTCCCCCCTCCTCCCCAAATGCCC